TCCTATTCTGCAAGTGGTAAATTGAGTCACTTCCCTGCCCAGGGACAGGCAGAGGTGGAGCCAGCATTCACATCCAGAGCACTTGTCCTGGCACTAAGTGTGAGTGTTGTGTGAGTGAAGTAACAGTGGGGTATGACTCCTGCTGTTGAGCTCAGAACCCTGTGCTGCCGCTCTTGTGCGCAGGTAGGCGTCACTTTACAAACAATCACGAGGGCTAAGGAGAGACAAATGAGACCTGGTCTCCCCTGAGGAATCACACAGTTCAGTGGGAGCTGAGCACTGGCCACGTGGGTCAAAGTACTGGACTTAAGCAGAAGCCAAGGAAGGAGCTGTTGTCAAAACCCCTGCAGTAGAAGTGGAGCCCAGAGGAAAGATGGCCCTTGAGGAGGAGCTTGGAGAATTCCTGGATGTTCACTAGGGTGTTGGGGCTCTCAGCGGTCAGAGAAACCTGATAGGGAAGGGCTGTGAGGCACCAAACTGCTGAGGGGGCCAGGGGCCGAGTTTGATGGTCATCTGGGCTGCGCTGGGAGCCCTGACAGCTGCCAATGGGGGACAAGACAGGTCCAGTCTGGAGAGAACTGTGTGTGGTGGGGTCAGGGAGCTTGGGAGCAGTATGGCCCTGTGGAAGGCCTCCCCTCTACCTTACCTTCTCTACCTTCTCTTGCCACCCAGTCTGACCTCTCTGCCAGGGAGGCTGTATGGCTGGCTTGGTTTTATCCCCAGCCTCTTAGGATTATTCCAAAGGTAGTTCAGTGGCTGCTTTCCTTCTGGATCTGGAGCCACATTGCCCAAATTCGAATCCCAGCTCTGCCACTTGTTGCCCTGTGATTTGCTGGGAAAATGAGTTAACTTCTCTCCAGATATTTAAGTCTGCAAGTATTGCATTCTGGGCCTCTCCCCTCCGGCAGTCTGTGCTGGACAAGTGGTAGCTACAAGTGTGTGTCTGGGGAAGGCAGAAGTGTCTTGTCCTGGTGGTTGTGTGACAGGGTGAGCTTAAGAAGGATGCAAACAAGGTGTGTTGCCTCACACCTGTAATCCTAGTGACGTGGGTGGTGAGATCAGAACTGTGGTGGGAAGCCAGCCTGGACAAAAATGTTCTTGAGACCCCCATCGCAACCAACTAAAAGGCTGGGTATATGTCTGCCATCCCAGCAATGCACCAAAGGATAAATAGGATTGCGGTCCAGACAAAAAGTAAGACCCTATTCAAAATGTGGTAAAAGCAAAAAGTGCTGGGGGACATAGCTCAAGAGGTAGACTGCCTAGCAAATGCAAGACCTTGAATTCAAACCCCAGTAACACACACACACACACACACACACACACACACACACACACACACAGAGTATTACACTCTGCAATGACCTTGAAGTCTTAGCAGAGGCCCTATACACTACAGAACAGTGATTGATACCCACAGGCCCTTCTTGAGATTTGTTGAAGGCTGCTTTGTGGTCTTCCTCATGCCTTTGGGTAACCTGGCCCCTCAAAGACCCCTCAGCCACTGTGACTGAGAGAAGATGTGGCTGAGTGTGAATTCAGGTGGTGCACACAAGTAGTGTGCATTCTGTACTGACAGAACAGTAGAGCCGAGGTCTCTCAAGCCGAGTTTTTGTATGTCTGGGGAAGGCAGAATTCCCGGAGGGTGTGTCCTATGTTTTCATGCCCGGGAATTACCAAATGCACGTAGCAGGTTCGATAGTTTTGTTTGGAGTAATTATCCTTTGAGAGTGCTGTCTGGGGTTGCTGGTTGTTTATTCTGACATTGGGGCAGATGTAATTGCTTTGACTTACAAACATTAATTATTGCAGTCATTGGAAACTGTGAGAGGTGCTTGCCACCTACTCAATGATTTGCTTTCTTCCCCAATGCTTTGAAGGAAAACGGCAGGGTGGCCAGGAGCTGCAGCAGGGCTGGGAGGAGGGAGCTGGTGAAGCTTTCTGGAACCATGCAGGTGAATAACTTCAATCCTGGCAGCCACCACTTCTTCCCTAGATGACCACAGTAGCCACCTCCAGGCTGCTGGCTTTCCCTCATTCTGTGTACTGTCACCACGCAGCTCTCTGTGTTCCCTGGCTTAATGTCTTTCTTTGGCCTCCCTTCCCACTGAGAATAGCACCCAGCTCAGGGACTTCAGGACTCAAGTGCTGCTCCAGCCTCCCTGGCTTTCCCTCCTCTCGCCTCTGCCTGGGGTGGTATTGGTGGTGCCTCATCCTGAGCACCTCTGCTGCTTCCGAATAGGAACTGCATGCTAATAGGCCCTCAGATGGTTTGTTGTGCACAGGCCCCATGGAAATGGTACATCATTGCCTTCTTCAGGTCCAGCCTTCGTTGTCACCTCCCAGAAAAGCCGCCTGAGCCCCCACTTCATGAAACAACTCCACCCCAGACCTTGCTTTACCTGTACCCTCTGCACTGTTATCTGAAATCCCTACTTAATTGTGAGTGTCACCTCTGTGACATTCTGCCCTTCCATTTCAGTTGTCTAGCAGCGCGTTACCTTGTCATGTGGCAGGTGGCAGAGCAGCATTTGTTGAGGGTTCAGTACTTTCTGCAGCAATCGTGTGGGGCCCTCTGTCCTCTCTGCCCCGAGCTTCTTTAGGCTAAACTGAGAAACCAGCTCCCCGGGGGTCATCTTGATGAGGCATCCTAAAATGATTCTTGTTTATGGCTCCCTGAGTCTGAAGTGCTCTAAAATCGGTAACTTTTTTGGGGGAGGGAAATTCTACACCTGACTCCTTGTGATCAGAAATGGTCAAATCACAGGCTTGCTAAGAATGCTGTATGAAATCCCCTCTGGGCTCCGTGGAGGAAGTGTGTGTGTGTGTGCATGTGAATGAACTTGACGTGTAGCATCGAGCCCCACCCCCAGCAGTTCAGACAAGGAACATTGAGCCTATATTGGCGATGTATCTGGTGCTAAGGTGCAAGGTCCTTGTTGGGGTGGGGCTTCTCCATTGTCTCCCTCTCTCACACACAGTGAATTATTTAGGACTCATTAGTGAACCCATCAACTCCAGTGACTTGTCAGACATCAATAGAAAGGTGTCTTTAATAATCAAAACAGATCTACACAGTGATGGGAACAACAAATTGTATGTGGATTATCTGCCTAAATTAAAGTCCTCTTAGATGGCCACAAATTAGTTGTTCTGAGTCTGGAAACTTTTTTTTCTTTTTGGGCTAGTGGCACTCTGAGTTGTACTTTTTTAACCTTTTGGATTAGGAGGAGGTACCAGTTAGCATTCTGTTTCCATAGTCCGTATCTGAGACAATCATCTCCTCGAGAGACAAGAGACGTAGGTTCTCAGCTAAGTCAATGGCATTATCCATACTAAGAACTGTTGTTGCCACTGGAGCCTGTGAGAAGACAGTCAGTGGCCTCGTGGGATGAGTTATTTGGTGAGACCACAGTTGCTGAAAGTCATCTGATCATGAAAGTTCACATGTACAGTGACCTCCATACCAGCACATTGATCACGGCAGAGAGCCTGGCATGCACTCACCTGGCTGTTTCTGTGGGTCACTGTGTGTGGTGGGAAAAGGGGAGGGGAGAGGGAGGAGGAGGGAAGGAAGGAATGAGGGGAGCTGAGCAGTCAATAAACGAAAAAGGCTTTCTTCAAAACCAGAAGATAGTAAAGGAGCATGAAAGATGTTTCACCCTCAGTAATGGGGTTTATTTCAAGGTTTATGGCTTTCAATTAATTTTTACATTCCTCCTTATACGCATTCTGATTATTTTGCAATGATCCCTTTTATTTTACTTTTTTTGGTAATCATAGTTTTGTAGTTTTAGGCTCTTTTTATTGCAGGCAAAGAAAAACCTGCGTAGCATGTCGAAAGACACTGGGTCCCCTGGGTGGGAAGCGGGGGGATTAGACACAGAGTGTGGAAGAGATGCCTCTTTGCAGCGTAGCTGAGGAGACACCAAGACAGTATCCCCAAAGAGACAGAGGAAAGCGCTGGAGGGCCTTGGGGCCAAGACTTAGGATTTGGCAGTTGTCTTACTGGCGGCCTTGGTCTTGGGACCCTGCTCAGAGACCTTGGCTGTTTATCCCCTCCCCACACATCGGGGAGAAGATTGCCAGTGACTGCAGCTTTGTGTGGAGGGGGTATGGGCAGGTGAGCACCCACGTGCCTCAGCGATGTGACGTGAGACATCTAAGCTGTGTGGTGACCACTTGGTGCTTGGATGCTCCTTCGTCCCCTGGCCTGACCCTCAGCCAGTATACCTGAGGAATGGACTCAGGAGGCGGCTGGGTCCTGTGAAGCTCCATTGTGCAGCTCTATGAAAGGTAGATGTGGAGGTGGCCGGCTGCCTCTTTCCTTTTGATGGTTCTGGGGATTGAACGCAAAGTCTCCAATATGTTAGGCATGTGCTCTACTTCATGAGTTGTGTTTCTAGTGGCACCCTTTCCACCCCTTTGGGATAGGGTCTTGCGAAGTTGGCCACATCTGACCTTGAATGCACAATCCTGTGAGTGTCGAAGTCACAAGTCACTGAGATGACAGGCATGGGCCTCCCCACCCGCTTGCTCAGTTTCCTCTTCTGTAAGATGGGAGTGTATGAATTCCTGAGAGGGTTTAGTGCAATGATGTTTAAACAGTGGGCACAAGCCTTGGCAAGTGACGCTTAGTACACAAAGCAATTGGTGAAATAGTGAGTATTTTCCAGGGCGAATATTAAGCACAATGCTTAGTACGTACTTCTGTGAATGGAGGGAGCAGACACAGGGGTGGATTCAGGCAGTCCAAGCACAGCATGCGTCAGCATTCTGGGTTTGTGGGACTAGTTGCGCTTACCTCCATCTTGAAAGGATAGTTCCTGAAGGTATTCTACAAACATGCCCTTGGTGATGCCTTTCCCATGATCTCTGAAAACAAGAGTATGTTAATATTTCTATCATGAAAATTGTGTTTTTCTTTACACGGATTCCCTTCCCTACTTTGGGTTCAAGTTCTCAGTTTTTAAATCTGCTTTTCATTCTTGTATCTGCAGAGAAAACGAGGTGCTCAAAGTCCAGCTGAAGAAATACGTTGGAGCTGTCCAGATGCTGAAAAGAGAAGGCCAAACAGCTGAAGGTGAGAGGGAGCCAGAGCTGGGGAGGGGTGGCAACATTTCCATTGAGCCCTGGGCCTGGCCGCAGTGGACACTCAGTATATCATGGGTAGTCCTGCTCCTGACTAGCACCTGTCCAGGTGAAGGAGTCTGGTGCTGCCCAGGATTCTTGCTAAGTGAAAGAAAGCACAGTGTAGGATTTGCCAGACTTTCAGTAGTAATCATATCAGTTCGTGTTCTTAGTCTGGAGGCTGGCGTGATGATGAGCCTTGTGGGTAATGAGTCACATTGAGCCAGGCTGTGAGCAGCAGAATGTTAGATGTCTAGGAGTTTGTACACTCAGGCACGGGTTGATCCAGCAGCTCAAACATTATTACCAAGGGTTGGTTTCTTTCATTCCTCAGCTCTGTCTCTCCCCAGCATTGGCAGTGACATGCCTGCAGTTGTTTAACCATCAGCCCTTTGAGCTGATAAGGCTCCAAGTATGCTGATTTCAGGGTATAGACGCTTCCGCTAGGGCAGATTTATAGTTATTTACACCAGGTCATGGTGGAGTTAGGGAGGGATATGCCCTGATGTCCTGGCACCTCCATGTGCCAGCTCATTTTCAACCATGTGTTCTCGCTGCAGGGTTAGTGTTCCCAACAACCCCAGTGAAGGGACAGCCTCTCTTCTCCGCCAGTTCTCCCTGAACCCCACCATCTCCTTCCCCACAGAGCAGTGGTTCTTAGCGTAGACACTTTCAAAACTTGCCTAGACTCATGGAAGAGGCAAGGTAGAAATGATACACTTTACAGTACAGTAGCTTGAGAAGGGGAGTGTATTCCTGCAATCCCAGTCCCTTAGGCGGAGAACAGGAGGATGGTAGTTCAGGGGATGGGCAGAAAAGTCTGTGAGACTTTCTCTCAATGAAGTCATCAAGACAACTTGATGGTGCATGCCTGCGACCCCAGCTATGACAGGAAACCTAAAATAGGCAAATTCTGGTCTAAGCATGTACCTGAGCAGGAAGTGAAGAGCCTGTTTCAGAAATAACCAGTTCAAAAAGGTGGTTTTGAAGACAGGGCTCAAGGGGTTGAGCACTTGCCTAGCCACCATAGGGACCTGAGTTCAAAACCCAGTACCACATACCTAAAAGAAAACCCCAGCAATGGAGGCCTCTTTGACACTTTTCTGTGGAAACAGGCAGTGTAGTCCAAGGCTGGATGAGAATCGTGTGGCCACTAGGGGCTCACACTGCTTCTCTCAGCCCCGTTATTCTGTGTGTCTTTTAGTCTTCATGTGCTTGTCTCATGTTACCTGCGTGATGCTAGTGCTCTGCCATCACATCTGTATTTCCAGTAGCAAGAAGTAGGAAGAGCTGAGTGCATTTCACAGCTGAATTAGCTGAGGGTTTGAAACTTTCTTTAAGGGGACTAAGCCTTGAAGGAGACTTTCAGAGTCTTCCCCATGACTTCTTATTGCTACTTGCCCCGATTACAAAGCAGGCCTGGAAAGTGTCATCGGTATCTAAGGAAGGACAGTGTATGATACGGTATTGGTGGCCAGCAGTCCCTGCCTCTGGTTTTAAGGGTAGTGGAAATCCTGTGGGAAGGGGAAGCATTGCTGAAGGCACCCCCTCCCCAAGGTCCCAAGCCCCTCTGTGTGCCGTCACCAAAGGTCATGGTTACAGGAGGATCTGGTTCCTGGCTCTGGACAAGACATGGCCCCCATGTCTGGTGATCACTGGGAAGAGTAAGGTTGTGTTTGCTCAACCCAATTCCATCCCCAGCAGGACACTCCTTCTCCTAAACTCTGGCAGAAGCAATCACCTGCAAATACCCAGTATCGATTCACCCCACTTGGTTCATTTCCTTTTTATTGTTTGCTGGGAAACAAAGGCCCAGGAACAGAACGGGAGCATGGGAGCATCCGGAGTGCGGCAGCTCCCTCCTCCCAGGTGGAGGCCAGCCGTGTATTTATCCTTGTCTTCCCGAAGGCTCAGCGTTGTGATTATCGCCCTGGGGTTTGTCAATCAGCCTCTCCACTGGTTCCCAGCTCCCCTCCTTCCTGGGAGCTGACAGGTGGCTTGTTTTGTTAAATGCCACTTTGGTTTTGGAAAGTGCTCTGTTTTAAGTTTCTAATTACAGCTTTCCTAAGGCAACTGGTCATTTTGCTTTGCTTGAGTGGTTAATGATGGCTTGTACCTCAGCCAGGAGTGGCATGTCTAAATGTTTTCTTCTCCTTGGCCTGAATGGGAATAGAAAGCCTGTACAGAGATGCAGCTGGCCCCTGGGCTGGGTTGCTTCCCTGCCTGGGGGTCTTGCTCTTGTTCTTTGCACTTCAGAAGACATCTCCCTCCTCCTTCTGTGTGTGTGCCTTCCCTTCACTCTGGCAAGACTTCCTACTGCCTCCTCCAGGAAGCCGCTCCTGCTTTCCCTTTTCTCCCATTTGGTCTCTTCCAGAGCTTTGGTATTGCTGCCTTGTTTTAACATTCTAGTTTCTTTAACATTCTAGTTTCTTCCTTTATTAACATATTCAAGAAATAGGTACCAGGATGTAAACTGCATGCAAGCAGAGACTGACTTGGTTGTTTGGGGTGGGAGCAGTACTAGGCTTTGAACTTAGGATCTTGTGCTTGCTGAATAGGTACTCTACTGCTGAGCCCTGCCTCCAGACCTTTTTGTGTGCCGGTTATGTATTAAATTTGCTTTGTAAATAGTTTTACAAAGGGGTTTCAGTTCAACATGTCAACTCATGAGTATAATGCATCTTGATCAGCATTACCCCTTCTTAACTCCATCCCCAACCCACCCAGCCCCTCAAGTTACCAAGTTCCAGGCTGTGAGGTATTCTGGGGGGGCAGGGGCTGGGACTGTGCCTGCACTTTCTTGCCCTGCCAGGCTCCTCATTACCCTTCTACCCCTCTCCCCTGCTCTCTTGTCATCTCACTTTTTTTTTTTTTAAAGGAATCAGATCTCTCCAAAAACACCCTCTTTTCTTCAGGTGGAACCAATTAGACCATGCTCTGCTCTGCCTTTAATTACTTTCTCCCTCATTTGCATCTGGCTTGTCTCATTAGCATGCCATTAGCTGAGTGCCTGTACCTCCACTGCAGTCAGGAGCAGCATGCCTCCACAGTTGTGTGGCCTGTCCTCTCGCTCCTGCTGCCTTCTGGGTAAAATAAAGGATTTGGAGCTACATGCCACGGCCGGCCGCCTCCGGGCTCAGCACTGCCTGCCTTGCAGTCATTGTTCAATTGCGCTGTTGGAAAAATAACTTGTGCTTAGTTTCCTTTTTAAAAGAGCTATATTCATTGGAGAGAGTTAGAAAGCAGCTAGGTGGCTCCTGCCCGTAAGTCTACTATTTCAGAGGCTGAGGCAGGAGGATTGGGAGTTTGAGGCCAACCCTGGATTACATAGCAAGACCCTTTCTCAAAATAATAGCAGCAGACAAACAGTGAGAAAGAAAGAAGGAAAGAAAAGAGAAAAAGCGAGAGTCAAGTGGCAAAGAACTGGAATTGTTTGTAAACCCTCCCACCTTGTTACTGCTTTGGACCACATCCTTCCAGACAGCTGCGGCCCTTTGCTGTGCACACAGGTACTCTTAGGGTGAAAGTTCTCTGCCTGAAGGTTTGGTGACCCCTTCCCCTTTTGCCTGTGACAGGCAGGCTTTTTTTGTTGTTATTATTGCTGTTGGTGGTGAGGCTTGAACTCAGGGCCTGGGTGCTATACCTGAGCCTCTTTGTGCTCAAGACTAGTACTCTACCAATTAAGCCACAGCTCCACTTCTGTTTTTTTGAGTGGTTAATTGGAGCTAAGAGTCTCACTTTTCTGCCTAGGCCAGCTTTGAACTGGGATCCTCAGATCTCAGCTTCTTGAGTAGCTAGGATTATAGGTGTGAGCCACTGGTGCCCAGCTTTTTTCTTGTCTTGTCTTATGGCTAAAAAGAAAGCTGATGGTACAATAAAACAGCAAATAATAGATAGGGATCTCAATCAGAAAATCAGGCCATGGTGCTTCTGTGTGTCATCCAGTGTGCCCAGATGGCAGGAAGTGTCTTCTGCTACTTCCTGCCACTGTCTGGCCGTCTTCATCTCTTTCCAAAGAAGACAGGGCAGCATTCGTTATGCAGCCCACATTGGGAGGCATTAGCAGTGTAGCTTTAGAGTGCGGGTTTTAGCCCAGAAAGTTCTAGTGCCGCCTTTGCTAGCAGTATGAGCTTGAACACATGACCTGCTTCTTTCCCCTTTCTTCAGTCCTCTTCTCTTCCAGCTTGGTCAGTTCTGCTACGAAGTTAGTCTTCAAGTTCACTAATCTTTTCTTCTGCGATTGGCCTGCTGCACAGTCATGTGGCCACAGCTCACTGCAAGGGATGCTGAGAAGCACAGAGTCTCTTCTCTGCCCAGCTGGCCCAAGATGGGTGTCTGGTTTAGGAAGAAAGAATGGCTCTTAGAAGACCATAGCCATTCCTGCCATGCTTGCAGTTAGTGGCTACTCTCCTTTTGAGGAGCTCCAGAGGGAAGGGTGCTGGCATGGCTGGTGGCAGCAGCCCCCAAGTCATTTTCAACAGGAGTTTGAAAGACTCCCTGCTCAACCCTGTGAAGCCTCTGGCAATCGCTCACTCACCCTTACTTGGGTGAAATAGATGTCCGCCTAGTCTTTGTGGTTAGGCGCTATGGTGGACAGTTGCCTTCAGTCCCCAGTAGCATGAAGGGTTGGATTTACTGCTGGCACTGGTCTCTTCCTCAGTGCCAAGAGAACTTGACTGAGCTCAGACCCAGGCCCAAGTCCTGCCGGCTGCTCACTGGTCCTGTCATTGGGCCTGATGTTGTTTCCCAGCCGGGGAACTGAAGTTCGAAGCTACTTGGCTTTTCCTTGGGAAAGGAGAAAAAATTTTTTTTCTTGGTTTCTCATGAGTTGTTATTATTGCCATCTTTTTTTGGACATTTTCTAGCTGGAGAGTTCTTTACATGACAGTTGACATCCAATTAAATATGTATTATGGAAAAATCCGCTTGTTAGGTGCAATGGTAAAAATACTG